CCAGCAAAACAAAAATGAAAGAAGAAATCAAAATCAACCGACTCGATTACGATATATGACCAATCGAAAAAGAACAAAAAAAAGTTCACTGAAAAATGGAGTAACGAGATCGGCGATTGACGACTATTCATGTGAACATAACAAATAAAGAGCGATAGCAATGATGGAGATAATATCGTGGATTTCAAGAAGCAGTTAGAAGAGAATAAAAGAATTGTGGTTTGCGAGAGGAATTTGGATTCGTAGAAAAATGAATGATTAGATTTTAAAAAATAAATGGAAAAGAAAGAAGTGGTGAATATGGAGATCGTGGGAAAGTTTGAATGCGATTAATTTTGTTTTTTTTGTTTCATGTTGAATTAATTGATAATATAATCGAAAAAAAGTGGAATGGTAAAAATTGGGACTTTTGATACGTGGCAGAAAGAAATAGTTGCAGTTTTTTTGTGAATTGATTTGTGATTTATAGTAATATAGGATTTTAACAGCCCAAATCCACGTGGTGTCCATCCATCAACCCTGAGTTTCGAACCCAACCCAAGCAAGTAAACAAACATTTATCAATATCGATTCTTTTTTGAATCCCAACGCAAAAGTATCAACTACATGGAGAAATCGAGAAAGCTCAAAGAAGAACACCGCGTTGACTAATTCATGTTAAAGGTTCCATCTTTTCTTCTGGGTTTTTCTCTGTCTTTACCCCTTTGGGGTTTGATCGAAAAGCTTAAGCCTTTTCGAAGAATCGTCTCTTGTCTTGTATCTAATCCAGATTAGGAAACGCTTATTAGCTTATAGATTTCTTAGATTGCTACTGGGTTTATGGTACTATTACCCTTCACAATATAAATTCGTTTGTAAATGTGTCAACTTTATTTTGCTCCCAAGATACTGCAATGATTATGAACGATATTGTGCTTTGTTTCATTCAAATGTAGAGCAATTACCGTTCTGAGTCTACTGTACTTTGATTCTGTGTAACTCCTAACAATCAATTCACATTCTTGCCAGGCTGAAACTTATATCTTCAAAGGAAGTGAAACCAATCCTCTTGTTTCGAAGCTATGATTCTATCAGCACTATTAACTTCAGTTGGAATCAATCTTGGGCTCTGTCTTCTGTTTTTCACTTTGTATTCAATACTGAGAAAGCAGCCTGGTAATGTTACCGTCTACGGTCCACGGCTTATTGGAGAAGGGAAATCTGAGCAGTCAAATGCATTCAACCTCGAGAGGCTTTTGCCTACAGCTGGTTGGGTTAAAAGAGCATTGGAACCTACCAATGAAGAAATCCTCTCTAATCTTGGTTTAGATGCTTTGGTCTTAACTCGTGTTTTTGTCTTCAGGTGATTGATTTGATTCATTGAGAGTTTGCTTCAAGTTTGGAACTTTTTTGGATGAATGATGTGAAATGTCAACGTTTTTTTTTTTTGGCAGTATACGAGTGTTTGGCTTTGCTTCTGTGGTTGGGATCTTTATCCTTCTTCCAGTGAATTATATGGGTACCGAGTTTGAAGAGTTTTTCGACCTGCCAAAAAAGTCTTTAGATAACTTCAGCATTTCTAATGTCAATGATGGTTCAAATAAGTAAGAAATCGATTCTATGCTTTAACAAAATCCCTGTTTTTTACTATGCTTAACCATTTTCTTATGCTTGTATGTGTTTTGCTTTAGGTTGTGGGTTCACTTTTGCGCAATATACATCTTCACGGCAGTTGTTTGCTCTCTACTTTACTATGTAAGAAGCCTGTTGTTTTGTCTATTCATTCTACTCCTTTGCGCCTCTATGTGAACATAAAACAATGTTTCGACTAACTTTGCAGGAGCATAAGTACATTTCATCAAAGCGGATTGATCATCTTTATTCAGCTAAGCCTCAACCACAAGAGTTTACGGTTCTTGTTAGTGGCGTCCCTCTTGTGTCTGGAAATAGTATAAGTGAAACAGTAGAAAGTTTTTTCAGGGAGTATCATTCTTCTACGTATCTTTCTCACGTAGTTGTTCATCGGACAGACAAGTTAAAGGTTCTCATGGTAAGCTTCTACCAACGAGAGATTTTATGATGCCATACCTTCTGATATTTTGGGATTTCATACAATTGTTTAACACTTGTAGAATGATGCTGAGAAGCTATACAAGAAACTCACTCGAGTAAAATCTGGAAGCATATCTCGCCAACAGTCAAAGCGGGAGGGGTTTTTAGGGATGTTTGGGAAGAAAGTTGATGTGGTTGACCATTACGAAAAGAAGCTCGAGAAGTTAGAAGATGACATGAGATTGAAACAGTCTTTATTAGCAGGAGAGGTAAAGAACTTGTCTTTGTGTGATTAATTGCATTCTTCAACATATTCATTCTTGTTTTTTTTTTTGGCAAATCCTTTTAGGAAGTTCCAGCCGCGTTCGTTTCCTTTAAGACAAGACATGGTGCTGCAATAGCATCAAACATTCAGCAAGGCATAGATCCAACGCAATGGCTCACTGAGACAGCCCCGGAGCCTCAAGATGTTCATTGGCCATTTTTCACCGCATCGTTTGTGAGAAGATGGATCTCCAATGTGGTGGTATTCGTGGCTTTTGTAGCTCTGTTAATCATATACCTTTTGCCTGTTGCATTGGTTCAAGGTCTTGCTAATCTTCACCAGTTAGAAACATGGTTCCCTTTTCTGAAAAGCATACTAAATATGTAAGTAAAACCCTATTTAGATAAATATGGGTTCTTTGTTTCGATAAAACCAACTACAAAAGGTCTTACTTTTTTTAATATATGTTTGCAGGAAAATTGTGAGTCAAGTGATTACGGGATATCTTCCGAGTCTAATCTTACAGCTTTTCCTTATGATACTACCACCCATTATGCTTCTACTTTCCTCAATGCAAGGATTCATTTCTCATAGCCAGATTGAGAAATCTGCATGTATCAAGCTCCTAATCTTTACCGTATGGAACAGTTTCTTTGCAAATGTACTGTCTGGAACTGCTCTTTATCGTGTTAATGTTTTCCTTGAACCTAAGACTATTCCCCGTGTGCTTGCTGCAGCTGTGCCAGCACAGGTAATAAACACAAAATCCAGTTTTGAGATTTTTTGAAACTTCTTTTTCGAACCATGAATCATGTTTAATCATTGGTGCAGGCATCGTTCTTTATATCTTATGTTGTGACCACTGGATGGACTGGTTTATCATCAGAGATCTTCCGTTTGGTTCCTCTTCTCTGGAGTTTTATGACTAAACTTTTCGGCAAGGAAGATGACAAAGAATTTGAGGTCCCTCCGACTCCGTTCTGCCAAGAAATCCCAAGGATTCTCTTTTTTGGACTTCTTGGTACAACTTACTTCTTCCTTTCGCCATTGATACTACCGTTCTTGTTGGTCTACTTTTGTCTTGGATATGTCATCTACCGCAACCAGGTAGCTGTACTTTTGTCTTACTCTTGAGTTTCATTTATGTAGAGAGTATCAAATAATTTAAAATCTAAAATGATTCCAATTGCATTCTCTTGGACAATGCTGAGTATATTCTCCATTGATGCTCCTCAAAACTCTGATAAAGCCATATAGGAATCTGCCCTAAAACCTTTGAATCATCTACACATCTTTTCGATTATGGAATCTCACTTTTATCTTTCCATTATGTGTAATACCTTTTCTAAATTCTCGAATAACATCTTTAAAACCGAAAGTCTTTTTGGTGCTTAAGCCATAACATTAACGGTAGATCAAGAATCCATTTTCTTGTCACTTGATTCGTTTTCCCCTTACTGAATCTATTGTTTCATCACAAGTTGGTGGTAGTAATAACTTCACCTTTTTTGTGTTGCAGCTCCTAAACGTATATGCGGCTAAGTATGAAACTGGTGGAAAGTTTTGGCCAATAGTACACAGCTCCACTATCTTCTCTTTGATACTAATGCACATCATTGCAATCGGATTATTCGGGCTAAAAGAGCTTCCACTGGCATCTTCTTTAACAACTCCCCTCCCGATTCTCACTTTCCTTTTCAGCATTTACTGCCAGAGACGGTTCTTACCGAATTTCAAATCTTATCCTACCGAGGTAAATGCTTTAGAGATGGGTTTGAAAATCATTTGCTCTTTTCTCAGAACTGTTTGGGAAAATAAAGCTGACTACATTTTGAATCATATTAATCATCTCATAGGCTACAAACAGAACATAAAAAGCATAGTCCTTAGAATCTTGCCCCGGATCAAGAACTTTGCGCAGTCTATGTTTGTGTTGCCATTGCAGCTTCTTATCATAACCTTTAATATGTTCTCTTCTTGCAGTGTCTGGTAAACAAAGACAAAGCAGACGAGAGAGACCAGAACATGTCTGAATTCTACTCGAAACTCGTGGTCGCTTATCGAGATCCTGCGCTTTCCGCTTCGCAGTACTCACGAGACATCTCACCTTAAGTTCCTCTGCTTCTTCATTCAAATCAAGCCTGAGGAGAAGAAACATACTCAAACAAACTCTTGTTTCAGCTTTTGAAGTTGCTTGCTTATGTTGAAGTCACTATACCCGGTTTGATCCCTTTAAGAACATGCTAAACCGGTTTGTCTTGTACATTGATTGGATCTTAACCAAGAGTGAAACCGGATTTTGTATTGTATATTTGTTAGAGTTTGTTAAAAAAGGAAAAAAAAGGGTAGAGATTTTGTTTAGACGGTCCATTACACCTTTTGGAAATTGTTAAATACGTAACTAGATAATGTAATTAGTAACGATTAATCATTACCACAAGTGTCAAGCTAAACCGAGAGAATAATTTGCAAAAAGATGAAAGATGAAAGATGATGACTCTTTGCCACGTCCGCATAAGGGTATTCTTTGTAATTAAAGCTAATTCTGAGGGCAGTTTGATTAAAGATAAATCCGTTTATGGAAACAAAATAAAAATCAAATATTTTCTATGTTGCGCCTATAGGCTACAAGCAACG